TTTCCGAAGCTAAAAAAAATTTTTGCTCTTAATACAAGTCTAAATTTTTATAAGTAAAATATAAAAGTTGTAATAATAAAAAAAGAAAATCTTTGACAACTATTAATAATAGTATTGTAATTTAATACATTTAATTAAAATGCCACCTAGACATTGTATTCCAAAGAAAAAAACACTTAAACGACCTAATATTTAATATTGGCAACACAATATTCAAAATAGACAAAACATAGAAGAAAAGAAGGTGAAATCCAATAGAGTGCCAGAAGAAACCGTATTTGAAAAAGGTCTGGTAGCACTTTTTAAAAAAGACCAGATGCCAAAGGCACCCGATATTCTAGAATCAGGGTTAATTGATATTACGAAACCAGGGTTAATTGATATTATGAAACCAGGGTTAATTGATATTACGGAACTAGGATTAATTGATATTACGGATCCAGGGTTAATTGATATTACGGAACCAGAGATTCAGATTATTGGGAAAATCAAATAAACTTATTGTAAAGAATATCGTGTTTTATAAAATAATATTACCCCCTTAGTATAATACTCTTGCTCCCTTTTTCAGTAATCTTGATGTAAAAGATTCGGTTATAAATTAATAGTATTAATAAAATGTGATAACTAAATACATCAAAAACTATCATAAGCTTATAACTTACGCGTAGTCTTTAATATTTGGATTTTGTTCTTGAAATTATATTGTTAAAGACTTTCTGGAATTTAATATACAGTCATACCTCTCTAAGTGCACCCTCTATAAGTGCACACCTTCTCTAAATGCACGTTCAAGTGCCGGCTAAATCTTATTCTCTATATGCACTATTAAAGTGTGGTCTCAAGAGCATGCACTTAGAGAGGTCTGACTGTATTACTATTAGTTTTAGCTTTAAAATTCAAGGCTATTCTGTTTTATTTTGAAATAAAACCTTAAAACCTTTGATTTCTGGTATGGCTTGATTAACATTGTACGAAACTCGAATAAAGTTTTCAAACTCTAAAGAATTAAGATTGTCTTGGACAAGTTTCATTAGTATTTGCGAGAAAAAGAATTAGGCCTATAAATTTAATGATACAGTAAGACCTCTCTAAGTGCACCCTCTATAAGTGCACACCCTCTCTAAATGCTTAGATTCTGGCCTTAATATATACTTGAACTTAATAAGTACACTTTTCTTATTATTCTCTAAATGCACGTTGTTAAAGTGTGGTCCTAAGAGCGTGCACTTAAAGAGGTCTGACTGTATAAGTTAATATCTGAAAGGCATCAGTAGATTTGAACATGACAAGCAGCAAAAAGATGAGATAAATAAAACAACTTCTTTGTACTGTATGTGAGTTATGTACATACTTATCAGGATAATCAAAGATTATCGCTACATATCATAATATAAATCAATTTTTGTTAAGAATTATTTATTTTTAAAAAAACGGGGGTTTTCCAAAGTAAATCTAACTTTACTTACTAAGTAAAGTTGTTCAACACACCATCTTTTACTTACCTTCAAATTTTAGTAAAATTCAGATGATCTTTTTCTATTAGTTTTTTTTGTTATACGTTTTGGCGCAGTTAATCAATTTTCTGTGTTAGAACGTATAACGAAGAAACTTTTTAATAAAAGGTTATTCAAATTGCACCAAAATTCGAGAGTAATTAAAAGATGGTACGTTGATCAACTTTACTTAGTAAGTAAAGTTAGGTTTACTTTGAAAAAAATCCTTTTTCCTTGTAATATGTACAATTCGTCACAATACCCACATTCATCAAAATACCCGCATTTACCTTATATTTAATTGTGACGAGAAAAGTGATAAATATAGACTCATGTATAGATCAAATCGTATATTTATCATTATGCAAAAGAAAGTACTACATATGTTCTGTGAAGGTGCTACATGTGAAGTTTCTGATATGCATTCACATTTCTGCTTTGCTACACACATATCATTCACTACTTAATTTTGATATAATTATACATTTAGTGAAATTTTCAATATCACTCCATTTCTGGTTTATTCAAATCGAACTTCTTGCTTTTATATATGGGTTGTTTTTATCGAAACACTACTTTATTTTGGTTGATTGCTTAATTTAGTATAAACTTTTTTTAGATCTAAAAGTTTTATATATAGCTTTCAAGAAAATTACAGTATTTTAAAAAAAATAACTTTTTGTATAGTATATTGAAGTATTAAGTTTATTATTGTTTATTTATATTTAGTTAACTTGAATAATTTATTTGAAGATTATCTAAATATATTTATCTGGGTATTATCCAGATATATTTATTTAGGTAGCTAAGTTTATCATCCAAATATCTGATGATTTGCAGATAACCCAGGTAATATTTAACCTAGGTATTATTATTAATACACAAATTATCTGAATTAGAAGATATTTAAAGCATTATACAATACATTATATGTTTTAATTATTTAGTTAAAGTTAGGATAAGAGTTATTTTTAAATTAGAGTTAGAGTATATTTTTTAAATAAATTTACCTTTCTAATCTTTTTTATTAATATGTCAATATAGGTTTAGGTATTAGTTTTCTTGTATTTTTTATTTTTATTTATTTTTTATTTTTTTTTATTAGGCTAATTCATGTTAATTAAAACAAACAATTTAATTGGCTTTATGTCACATGATTATATAATACTTTAATTGATGATCCACAAGTCAACTAGAGAAATTTTTGATGCAAATCACATATAAATAAAGCCAAATAGGCATTTTAATGTTATATATAAAGTTAGTAAATTTTTAATAAACATTTACTTTAAAGTAGTACAATTTGTAGAATAATATCATGTGATTTTAATATGAAAACCACTAAGTATAAAAGCTTTTTGTTAAAAACTTTACTTTGGACACATGCAGCATTTACTATAATATATATATTCAAATTAGTTAGTTTAATAAAGTCTTATAAATGCATTTAATCTTGATTTCTTTGAATAATTTTTATTTTTAAACTTCTTAGTACATATTATTGTATAAAACAACAATAAAAATAAAATTTGTTTGATGGTGCTAAAATCGCAATACTTTAATATAGTTAGACCTTTCTAAATGCACTCTCCCTAAATATATCCTCTCTAAATGCAGCACTCCCCTAAATGCATGATATAAGCCTGGGCCCATGGTAGGACTTATAGATAAATGTATATTTTTTATTCTATAAGTGTATGCTAATTGTCTGGTCCACTTATAAAAACTCCCTCTATAAATGCATCTACATGATTATTAATCAATCAAATACATTATTGGTCATGTCTTATGTGCGCATCTGAACTTTTTTGTATATATTATTGGTCACTTTATTATTATTAAATACACAAATTCTGACCATGTTATATATGAAAATACACAAATTCTGATTACTTTATTAAATGTATATAAAGTCACGAAGCTATGTATTATTTATTAATTTGTAAATATTAAAAAAAATACAAATTAAAGAAATTAACCAATTTTTAAATTGATTTTTAGGTCATAACCTTGTGGCGGAACATCTGGAGGAAGATTAATTACAATACTATTATTAATAGTTGTCAAAGATTTTCTTTTTTTATTATATTTTGCAAGCATTGGTGAATCAGGATGAACAGGTGGCTTGAAAGAGGTATAAATTGAAGATGCAGAATATGGATTAGTTCTAGTACAGGGCTTTGGCCTTGGAATTTTTGCTATTTTTTTTATGTTAGATGGTTGGGTTTCTTGAATTTCATAGTTAGATGGTTGTATTTCATAGTCGGGTGATTGTGCTTCATAGTTAGGTGATTGAGTTTCTTGAATTTCAATGTTTCGTGGTTGGGTTTCTTGAATTTCAATGTTTCGTGGTTGGGTTTCTTGAATTTCAATGTTTGAAGACTGAGTAGTTTATAAATTATCTAAATTTATAAATTGTAAAAATAAATTCGCATAAGTAAAAAAAATTTAAATTTTAAATTCTTTTAAAATAACATATCCGAATCACTGTCCTCATCTGCTTCTTCAATAAAACCTCCATATTCATTGCTGTAGTCATATTCATCCAAATCCAAATCTTCATGTGAGAATGGAATAAGTATTGCGACATTTGTAATATGTTGATCATCACTGATCTTGCAGTATTCAGCTAAACTTTCTCGAGAACGATGTCCAGAAAAAGATTGAAGATTAGACTCAGATACACCATTATTTCTTAAAAGCTGGATGGCTGTACGTTGACAAGAATGATTTGTAATTTTACGCTCGTTACTAAGATCAATTCCAGTGTTAGATGCAATATTGTTCATCATTTTTTTAAGTTTTGCGAAACCTATTGGATTGTTTTTAAACCAATGACCTTTTTGCAGATCTTAACAAAAAAGGTTAATAAGTTCAAACAATAACGATAAACATGCATGCATGTTTATAAATAAGTTTATACCTTTTTTGCTTTTACAGGTTTCATATAATAGAGGATCCTTCGCTAAATTAGAATTGGGTAACGGCAATTTAGACAAATATAGAAGCATGTCTTTAACGGATGTATACTTGTTATTAGATGAATCTGGAGGTATAGGTATACATCGTGATCTAGTTCTACCATATTTTTTCTATAAAATGCACCACCCTGATTATTCTTTTCTCTATACAGTACAAGTTCTAATCCTCCATCTCGACGACGCTTAAGATCTTTTCTAGAAAGCCAATATATATCTCCACCTCTCAATCCATATAAAAGACATAACCAGAAAAAAATACGACGAGTAAGTGATTCATTATCATTAGTACTCATATATAGATGATCGAGAATTTGTGTAATCTCATTCATGGTTAATCTGTCAGATTTTTTAGGATCGCCCAAACCTTTGTCTTGTAAAACTCTCATCTTTCCGTCAAGTGTGCGTAAAGCACATGAAAACCTATAACGATCCCAAATCTTGATTGGTTGAAGAACACTGTGTTCTTTCAAATATCGATTTAAAGCACTGTAACAATTATGAATAGATTTCACTTTGTAATCAGAACCATTGCTTTTTCGTAACCAGGTAACAAACTTGCAGAGATAATCTTCCAGTTCATCATTTGAGTTGATTAATTCAATTTTTGTTGAAATGTTGCAACTTTTGTTAAAACATTCAACTACTCATAACCACTTGGATGTATTTTTTTCAGTATTTGAAACAAGTGAAGCTTGCTGTAGTTGGTCGATTTCTTCTTGTGTTGGAAGTTGAGAAGTGCGTATGAGATCTATGATTTTTAATTAAAAAAAAAAAGGGTAAATATTAGTAAGCGAAAGTTTTTGTAAAAAAAAAAGTAAATAAAAAGTTAATTGTCTGGAGCGAAGCGACAGACTCATACTTCTACGCCCTTTGATTACCAAAATTATGTTTTTGCTATATTTATATTAGAAATATCAAAAATGTAGTTTTGGTATATTCCGGATGTAACGCCCCTGAAAAATTTGATCTATGACATACATAACAAGACATTTCAGGGGCAAAAATATTAAATTGAGCTC